ATAAGTGTGGTTTCAAATTAAGCCAATAGTTATTGGCCTAAAATGTTACAGTATGTGATGAGAGTGGTTCCAAATTCAGCCATAACTTATTGTCTTAACATGTTACAATATGTATTAAGTGTGGTTCCAAATTAAGCATTGAGTTATTGGCCTAAAATGTTACAGTATGTAATGAGAGCAGTTCCAAATTGAGCTGTTAGATATTGGCCTAAATTGTTACGGTATGTAATAAGTATGGTTCCAAATTAAGCCATTAGTTATTGGCCTAAAATGTTACAGTATGTAGTAAGTGTGGTTCCAAATTAAGCCATGAGATATTGGCCTTAACTGTCACAGTATGTGTTGTTGTGGTTCCAAATTTACACCATTAGTTATTGGCCTGAAGTAATTAACGACATCTGCCGTGATATCTGTAATCTGAAGATCCCGGTTTTTAGTTCTAATTTTGAAAGTTTGCTTGGTTAACACCTTACCAGCAAAATGAAAAGTTTCAATAGTTTGAGTGCTTTGAGGGTAATGGCAGGGCTGAATCAAAAAATTACACTCAAAGTGTACTATTCGTCTTCTTCAGTTTTGTGGAGTTATGTTTAGAAAACAGCAAATAGCCCCTTTCATTCCTGATATCAAGAAGCAAACTTCCCAAACCCTATCTCCCTGCAGTATGTGTAAAAGTGCTGTGCAGAGTAGAGGGAAATTTATTGGGTAATTTCTGTTTACGATAATTGACTCGAGTAAATGAAACCTGTCATAGTCCTCCCTAGCAAGAAAGAGACACAATCACACATCTTATCCACTGTTTATTACTTAGTAAAGTGCCTTCCCAACCCCACACTTTGCGATATTATCCATGCACAGTAACTTGCACTGAATATTGTTTCAATTCAGTAGAAGTTACTGTGTTGGGGGTGTCATCCATTGTTAGTATCGGTTCTTTATTCTTCGCTCCCTCTTATGTCTTGCCCTGCTCAATCCTGTCCTAGAAGTTTCCATTTTCTATTAAAAACTGGGGTTTGTTCCCCCAAACTTAATATGGGGGGTGACAACTCTACCAAGGCCTGTTTTGGGAGAAAAACAAAATTTTTCCAGGAATCAGGAGACTCTGGAATTTTGCCGGGAAATATGACATAAAGTAGTTGCAGAGAAAAGTGGGATGTTGAACAAAATTTGTGTTTCGATCAGTTAAGAAATCTGGAGGAACTTCCAGATGTCTGGGAGGACTTAAGCTATACATAGTGTTGATCAAACAACGTTTGTTAGAGTTGTTAACCCTACATACTTATTCAGGACAGCTCAACCCGCTACACTGACAATGTGTACGAAGCGCTTGCTTGGTACACTTCTTGGTCAAGTCAATTGGATGGTTTGACACCATCTTTGATCAGGGTATCAAGGCCTTGTTTTACCTTCTTGGCCTTTTCAGTCAGTTGTGATTTACTACTTTTGGATGTCAATCTTTAGCTTGATTGGAGTCAGCTAAAGTACTTGAATTACTGATCTAACAAACGAACATCCGAACGAACATTTTAGGCCAATAACTAACGGCTTAACTTGCTAGTCGGTAAATTCTAACATTTTAGGCCAGTAAATACCGCACCGACCGTGGTTAGTAGCTTAAAATGTTACAGTATATATACTGTGATAACAACATACTAAGCCGTTGTCTGAACGCCCCACAAGTACTACGTTGCAAGTTTGTCAGTTCATGTCCCTCTAACACGGTAGAAAGCCAGAATAAATTATGATGGGTTTTTACATGTAACGTTTATGTGTTACCTTATTATCTATTCTAGTATTTATTACATCAAACTGCAAGGAAATCACAGTGTAACTAAACCAATTTACAAGCTAATTCAAGCTTACCTTCAGAAGTTGTCAACAAACAGGCAGCCGTCTCCATATTCCATCTCCTGACTCTGAGAAGCGAAAATGTAAAGCAAATTAGCTTACGTCTCACATCAAGTAACATCGCTGGTTCAAAACGGCTTTAAACAAAGAACAAACCTGTGAAATTACGAAAAACTCAATTTTCCACCATTTTTCCTACACACGTGCCAAAATGGAGGAGACGAACTACGCTCGCAGAGATCACTGGGGAATACCCAGGAGGAGGGGCAGGGGAGGGGAGCCCAAAAAACGTTATTTTGGGATCCCAGCATTTCCAACAATTTCATTAATGATTGCAACAGGCTAAGCTACAGAGGGCACAGAAAGACTTGACATCTTAATTGGATATTGCGTCCAATTAAACTAAAAGGATTTGGAGATCTCGAGGACTCAAAAGAAGATCAGGGTATAGCTTATGTACTCGTACACCACTTTTCCCGCTTTTCGCCGACGAAACGCCGCCCAGGGATGAGGACCCCGCGTCATGACGTCACTATCAAGCATGTAGAGCTTTATATGACTACAATAATGTACTTCGTAGAACGCACACATATTGTCAAAAATCGAAGTTGAATATCGCCCCTACAACGCACTGCGACGATGAACCACCACAAAAATAAATTTTGTGCATTTTATTTAGTTATTCAGCAAAGCAAGAAAAAGTTTCAGCAAAAGACGTTTTCGGCTCATCTTCACCGTAAATTCTAAAACTAAATTACCTGACCTTTACGGTTAGCAAAGGGCGAGTGTTAAGGAGGGGAAGGTAAGTTTTGCACAACGCACAAAAAAGACTCAACATAGCTGCTGTCTTGCTTGCAATATACATGAACGCAAAGGATAAATCTTCAAGTTTTTTTCTTCCTTATCAGTACAGGCATATGGTATATATGTGGTATGGGAGACGCTAGAAAGTTGCACATTCACATCTCATATGTAATAAAGTTCCCCCCCCCCCCCCCCCCTCCCCAGCCCAGTCGCATATCCTTTCCTGTGAGAGAAGGTAGTTCAAGTTTTCTTTCAAATCCGTGTTGTGGCGATCTTGAACGAAAGCGAAAATGCCGCGGTGCATATAGTGGCTCATCTGCTGAGGATTTGATCGCACGGTTGTCTTGTCCTCTCTTTCGCTGCACAAAATAAATATAAAATGTTAAACTGATCAGCTTTTCGTCCTTTTATTTGTTGATTGCCTTCCTTGTTACAGTCTGCGTAGCTGGCGATGCCCTATAGTACCGGAACAGACGGTAACACGCGCTAAATTCACCGGAAGCATTATAATAATGACGTACCTTGAGACAACGCACTAAGAAACACGGGAGATAACCAACGGGGAAGCAAGATGAAGCGCCAAGAGAGGTTTGGAAAAATCCCTGTGGAAAACAAGCTAATGCTGGGAACTCATGGGAACACATGGGTCAGGGGTGGTGCGGGGGCTTCCCGTATGAAAAGGTCGGGGATGTTCGTCGTCTCGCTTAGGGGTATTAATCAAGGATTCTGGTCTTACTCAGGATGTTTAGTACGAAACGACACTATTTTTGCCGTCTTTTACGGCTGCACTCGAAAAAATAATAAAATACCGCTGTCAGGGGTCAAATAAAGCTCGAGCCACACTCAGATTGGTCTCCGTTGGGGATTGAATTCAAATTTTCGAGGAGCATTCCCGACCTTCCTCTGGGCTTTCCCCGTGCGTTTCCACGCGGTTTTCCTTGCGTGTTTACCTTGCGTTAATCAGTTTCAGTACCGTCTACCTCTCTATGCGGTCTCTGTGTTTTTCCCCATCCATATCTTCCTGTGCGTGCTTTCCCCGTGCGTTTCCACGCGGTTTTCCTTGCGTGTTTACCTTGCGTTCAGTTTCAGTCACTTCTGCCTATCTGTGCGGTCTCTGCGTTTATTCCATCCATATCTTCTTGTTCGTGCGTTTCTCTGTGCGTTCCCGTTGCGTTCTCGGTGAATTTGGCGAGCGTTCTTGTCTCGTTTATTGTCACTCTTACTGGGCTGAAAAGTGAACTTATGTTGGTGGTGATTGGTAGAAAAATTACCGTGTTAAAATGTGAACACATTTTGGTGGTGATTTGTAGAAAAATCATGATGGTGAAAGGAAATCGTTTTTGGCTTGGACTGGTAGAAAAATAAAAAAAGAAACTTTTGGTGTATACTGTTAGAAGTATGGTCGTGGTGAAAAGGGTTAAGCATTTCAGTGCTATGTGGTTTAAAAATCACCGCGTTTTAAAGAAGAAGGGTACCAAAAACAAACATTTATATCGGTCGGAGAAAAGTTATTGTGATGAAAGGAACAAATGTGAGTGATTAGGTTGATGGTAATGTTGATGAAAGCGATGATAACAGTGTTTGTCGCAGCCTACGTGTAGCCGTACCCAACCCCGAGGAAAAACGGGAGGGGAGGAACGTCGTTCCCTCCCTCCCGTTTTTCCTCAGGAGGTGGGTACGGCTACACGTAGGCTGTGTTTGTCGATAACACCGTTGTACTGGAGAGATACGGTAAATCAACGATTAAGCAAATCCATGGTTTGTTGCAACTGTGTTTTAATTCCTAACTCATTTAGCAGTCATATGACCACATGTCACAATTTGTTCTGAAACCCTCGATAACTCAAACCCCAGTAAAATTGCTATAAAAGAGGAACAACAAAGGACATTCAATTTACGGTATGATGAACATAGTGAATTTCAACATTTGTAGCTGGTTATAACTGATTACTCAAGCATTCAAACTCGTCATTCATTAGTATAAATTGGGTACCCTTTACAACTTTTAAAAACTCATCAGGATTTCTGCTACAAAATGTCTTTGATATAATAAAGTGCAGTATATCCAGCATATGCCTTAATGAGAAGTCCTAGTAAGTGAAAGTGAGGCTCGTTATGTTCATGAGTTAAAAGATATCTATAGATCAAGTTTTGTAAGGAAAAAAATTGTCCCAAATCAACGGTGCAATGATTTATAAAGCTCACATTCCTTAAGCAATCAAGTTATTTAATCTCAGTGTCCGCCTTTCACAATCGAAATTTTTTTTAACTTTATTACGTAGTATGTAAACTTGGTATAGCCCTCGCATGATGGGAATTTAATCTCAGTGTTACTTTCTTTTCGTGGGACAAGTATAGATATTACCATTGCACATAATGGTAATTTCTATACTTGTCCAGTGAAACATAGCTCTTATTACAGCCTACTTGCGAATCTAATGGGCCGCATTCGTACTCTCGGTAGAGGCTAATGTGGGGAGTCTTTTTAAATGCAAATGACATTTATCCCTTTTTATAGTGATGCAATACCGAGACAACGAATATGGCCTATTTCTGTAAGATTTACTTGACTTCGTGATATACTGGTATAAGAGGGATTATGTGCCTCGAGAAGTAAGTCTCTGAACGCTTAATATATATGTGCAGTGCTACATGGCTCCTGTAGAGCTTCTGGTTACTGGCCGCAACATTTCCATGAGCCCACCAGGCTCCACACATTGCTTCCATTGGTCATCACGTGAATTCCAGATCCAGACACTACAAAATGAAGTTAAACAATAACAATTAATTTCCTTCCCTGTGTTCATTCACCAGCAGCAAGAGGGTCGTTGTTAAGTTCCCCAAAGCATAATACAGCGATAAGTACACAATAAAATGTCATAAGACTTGGTAACTCGTAGATAGAGCAGCTTTCACTTGTGTCGACAATATCTCGCGTTTCCTTTGGTTTTGCTTTACAACGCTACACGATTGGCTTAAAAAAAACTCGCGCCACTTTTTCATCTAATAAAAAGTAAAACAAAAACGTCTGTTACTCATGCAGGATACTTTTTATGATCCGTGGCCAAACGATCCTCAGTAACACCAACATACTTTATATAAAAATGAGTTGTGATGAATTCACAAGGAGCAACGTCAGATATATAATTCACTCACTATCTAAAACGTTCACTATTCAAAGTAACATATTTTAACCTAAAACAGTCATGTGATGACCAAACTTGAACAGGTAGTTAACATCCCTGGAAGGACTCCCTTCCAAAAAGGACGGGGCTGTTCGTCGTACCTTTTAGGGGTTAAAAAAGCGGTTTTGTTACCTCTAAGGTTCTTCAGCCTCAAAAGATTCACAACATGAGCTTTTGCGGTACCTTTTACGATATTGAGCTTAGAAACATATGACGGGAGATAATGTGTTGTTTTAGAATTGGAACCTCATAGAGGTGAAAAAAATTTCAAGCCACGCCCACAAAACAGGACCTTGGTACCCCTTGGGGGTTCTTTTAAGATTTCCGATGAGCACCCCCCCGTCCTTTTTATACGGGATTACCCCCCGGGTAGCATGTCGCACGACGTTCTTACCAATCCTATCCAAACTCTGAATTATGCCTTCCTTTTCAAAGGGCATTAAATTATAAATTAAAATGAATTACACGTATTCAAATACACTCACCTCCCCAAGTGGTTCCAGTGGAGTTGGCCGTCACTCTCAGGTCAGCCGTGGGTAAACCGGCCACAAGGTTTTCAGGGAGAGCCGTGGAATTTATCAGCTTAGTTTCTTTTTGTACGTCTTTCAGATAGCCATCCGTGAGCTGCTGCCACGATTCACCGGAGTCGCAACTGCGATGGAAGTTCATTTGTCGATCCACACCGTAAATTTCCCTCAGAGTTGGATTACACGATAACACACTGATTATTGAAGGTTTTATGGCTAAAAAAAAATTAATTGGCTTTTAACTTACAGAATCGCTTCTTAAATTTGTAATCTTTGGTCAGCATCAGCATATAGGCCCGCAATTCGTGCGAAAGATGGTAACTGCATAACTTCCTACGGAGACACTCACAAGAATTCAATTCTCTGTTAAGGAAGGAGGCATGTTTTGCGCAAACATATGCACGGATATTTGTCCGCGGACATTATATGTTCCGAGAACCGAACAGTTTGTGACTGTGAGCAAAACTGTGAGCTTCAAGGGACAGATAATGTCCAAGGACAAATATCCGTGCATTTTTTGCGCCAAATGGAGGCTATTGTGTTTATTATCCTTCAAATATTTTTCGCAACACACGCATTTTTGAAAATTGATGAATATTTAGTAAATAAACACCTTCTGGCGCCTGGTATGTCGGCTGATAAAGTCCGCGGCTGAGATATTGTCCAAAAAATGAATATTTGGCCGAGAAGCGAAGCTCCGAGGGCAAATGTGAAATTTTGAGGACAATCTCTCAGCCAAGGACATTATCAGCCAACATACCAGCGAGCCAGAAAGGGGTTTATTTATCTTATAACCCTCCCATTAATTTTCTGCATCTTTTGTTGACTCTTTTGTACTTGTCGGGACAGCATTGGCGACCAGTTTACTTTCTAATGTCATTATCAGCGGATTCCACGAAGAGAGTTTGTTTTTCTTCCATGAAAAATAATAAAGATAAAAAGGTGAAATTCTAGAGCTGGATTTATTCTTTTTAGCTTTGTTTCTTTTCGACAGAAACAGTCGCAGGGCAATTACCGACGCAGGCGGAGATTATTGCGTGATAACTGCCCAGTAATTTTGCATCACGTGACGTAAAGTAGCCAATAGAGTTGCGCGAAAATTAAGCCTGGGTTATAATCTCGGATATTCCCCAATTTTAGCTAAGGAATATTCGGTCACGTGACATGTTTAGACCAATCGCGCGCGAGCGGAAATATCTGATGGATTATAATACACATTAGTATAAATCTACTAGCGTTTTATCACGAATGCCGTTCTCTGATTGGCTACGCTACTCACTATCTATTCTGTGATAGACAGTGAGTAGCGTGCCCTTGTTAACAAAATGACGGCCGTTTCTTGGCGTCTTCGAAGTGTCTGTGAAGAGGATTTAGATAAAGCTTTGAACGACTAGTAGATTTATACTAAAACAATTAGATTATTCGCTCTCGATTTCTATGCGTGATAGAAATCTCGAGCCCATAATCTAACTGTTTATTAGTATAAAATGATCTAATAGCGTTCTACCACGAATGCCGTTCTCTGATTGGCTACGGTACTCACTATCTATTCTTTGATAGATAGTGAGCAGCGTAGCAGTGTGCCCTTGTTAACGAAATGACGGCCGCTTCTTGGCCTTTTCGAAATGTCTGTGGAGAAGATTTAAATAAAGTTTTGAACGAATTGTAGATTTATACCAAAACAATTAGATTTTTCGCTCTCGATTTCTATGAGTGATAGCTGACTCGGGCTCGTAATCTAATTGTTTAATAGCGAAGCAAATTAAAGAACATACCAATCCATTCCACACCGTCAGCAGTTGAAAAGCAGCTGCTTTCGGTTCTACAAGAACAAAATGTAATTAAGTCCATGTTGTGTTAGCTTTTTCTTCTGCAAAACTTAAATATTGAACTTAAGTTATTACTGTGCATTTCTATCATAATTAGCTTTTAGTGCAGAGTGCACTGTTGAGATGGTTTAGGGGCTGCCGTCTGCTAGTTAAGGCACTAAGGTACTAAGGCGCCAAGGTGATAAGATCCTAAATAGCTAGGGTGCTAAGGCTCAAAAGGTAGTAAGGCATTAAGGCGTTTAATCTTTAATGTTTGTTTAATTAATAAATTAAATTAATTAATTAGCCTTGAAGCAAGGGGGTGGGACGGGGTAGGCAACTGTGAGCACTACGTAAACTACAGAGTACCCACGTTGATAGCTTCACAAAGCTTATCTTTGTTTCAGAAAACCCCTTGCTCTCCTTGTTTAAGCCCAGTTATTCAAAATTTAAGCTAATCTTTTTTTTCTGAACTTGCATCTTTCTGCCTCGAGATCTGATCGGCCTATTTGTGTTATGTTGTGATAGGTCAATTGAAATACCGCTTTGCCCAACTTTGTTATCGTTGTATAGCAGTCACACATTTCTATGGAGAGACCATAATACTCACTTTTCAGCGGTGTACATACAGGCATAAAACCAGTCAGTAACAGGATCCAATAGGAAGGAACGCCGGGCGTACTCAGGGACACCTGAAGCGAAATAATACAAGTACACGGAATCAGCGCGGTAGCTAGAAAACTGTTGCAGCGTTTTTCTACATCGTATATATACGCATGACCGCATGGCCGAAGAACCAATTGGCTGACTACTAATTGGCTGACCGGACAAATTGACTAACTGATTGACTTACAGACACACAGATCGACAGACAGACAGACAGACAGACGGACAGACTGACGGACTGACGGGCGGACAGACTGACTGACGGAAGGACGAATGGACGGACTCACGGACTGACGGCCTGATTGACTGAGTGACCTACGGACTGATAGACTGAACTGACAGACTGACCTGACAGACTGACTGACTGACAGACAGACTGACTGACTCACGGACAGACTGACTGACTGACGCACTGAAGGACTGACGGACAGACAGACGGACGGACAGACGGATTGACCGACTGACGGACTGACTGACTGACCGACTGACCATCCGAGCAACTGACTGATCGACCGACCGACCGACCGACCGATCGACTGATCGACTAAATGACTGACTGACTGACAGACAGACTGACTGACCAAATGACTGACTGACTGACTGACGACCGACCGACTGGCGTACGGACGGACGGACAGAGGGACTAAATGACTAATTGACTGAACTTGGCTTTTTGATCGATCGATCGATTAATTATTTTAAAAACATTATTTGACCACAACGTAATTTCCCTACATCTCAGACTAACAATTGGCCATTAATAGAAGTAAGACGATGTCTACAGAATTTCACAGTATTTTACCAGAATAGTCTTGTCTTAGAAGTAGTAATCTAGTAGCAGTTAAATGCTATAATGAGCAAAGCTAACTGAAAGGGGAAGCTGGTTCTGCGGCGTTAAGCCGACGAAGTTGGCGACGGTGGCTTCATCGTTACATCGACCATGTCCACCCTGTCAAACATCAGACTCTCCAAAAAAACTTTCCGGCCAAACATCTAGTCTTTCCAAGAAGAAGCGGAGGCAGCATGCAACTGAATGAGTGGCAATCAACACGCAGGGATTCACACAACTTAGTTTGCATCGGCCTTGCAGTTTTTCTTATATCCACTGAAACTGCATCCAACAAAGACCTCTAAAATCTGTTGCCTGGAGCATTCCTTCTGTCTCTATGTATCATGCGTTTGCACTATGACGCTTGAGCAGGCTGGTGGCAGCAGCAACTATGGTCCCGTTCAAAGGTCAACGGCTGATGAGAGTGATATCTCAAAGTTCGCAGTTCACGCCTTGCTGATTTTACTTCTCTCTCCTCTCTCTTTGATTTTCTCGTATCTCCCCTCCCCCGCCCTCTCTTTCTCTCCCGTCTCTCTCTCAAGTAATAAGCATTAACGTACCATTATAAGGAGGAAGCTCTTCAGCAAAGCATCCGTAAATTTCCGCTCTCATAACTTTGAAGGTGCTGTCTTTATCGTTCGGGATAATTCGTAAATACCGCGTCACAAATGGTTCGGCAAGTTTGGCGAGGACTGGGTACACCGATTCTTGCGGGCTTTTCGGTCCTCTAAGGTCCTACGGAAATTATCAGACCAAAGATCGGATATAAGACTGGCTGTACATTAACAAGTGACGAAATATGATGATATTTAACAACTTGACCACAACTATGGTTTACACTCTTTTAGTAGCCACTCAGCTAAATTCTATTGAAAATCCGGGAATCTGATTGATTCTCCCATCGTTTTCTGTTTAGCAAATAGATTCCATGTTGCCGTGCGTTTGTTCAGCAATTGATCACAGATGACGTGATAAGAACCAAAAGGTGGCACGTGAGCCGTTAAGTGAGTGTGTCACTGATGTATTTACCACATTTTGACGTCCTTGGTGATTTATTACTGAACAGACCCACGGCAACACGGATTTAGTCTGTTTTATGCAATAAAGAAAAAAAAGAATGTTACTGACGCCATCTATACATCTGTCCTCCAGTAGATCATAAGTAGAGACCAATCAAAATATGAGAATAATTAACGATTATTAGATGAGATTGAGCAGAATATCGTGATTGTCAGTGGCGAGCAGATCAATTACTTGCCGCAGTCTATAATTGATCCGCGAGACACTGACAAATCACGATATTTTGCAATAAACGAGTTCAATAACTGTTTCATCAAAAACAACAACAACTTTATTTGTACTCAGCTAGAAAGTAAATGAACAAAAATAAGTTAGAATAAAAAGAGTACAGGCTGCCCGAAACAACCTCAATGGGCTAGTCTTTTGTTCACCAAGTTTGTTTTCATATTTAATTTCAGATTTAAAAATCACTCTCTGACAGCTCAGGGAAGCGATTTGCCATTTTTCACACAAGAGCGTCGTTACAGTTACGCATGAGCAGAATATTATTTGAAGCAAAAGACATTTAGATGGTACTACGCATGAGCAGACCATTATTTGAAGGCAGTTATTTGCAGGTCACGCAGTGGGCTCTCGGCCAATGAAAAGGAAGAAAAAATGCATCTTACGATATTTTGACTAACTGTATACCTGTTAAGTTTACAGCCTCGGGTGTGGCAGAGCTCTTGGTCCTCCAACATTTTCGGATTTTTCAAAGATTACGGTGCGACTTCTACAACCAACGCCACTGGTCGGCCACCAAAGTGTTCGGCAAATTTAACGAATGGAGATTTTGGATTTAAACCATAGGTTTCCAACAAACTATCCATACAATTAAGCTGTCAATTTCAGATGCAGTAAATTTGTGGTTCTTTTGATCATTGTAACGTTTATAAATGCCATCGGTCAGTATTGGTTTGAGTAGTCCTACTATTCTCATTCATGTTTATGCCGCGGAATTCCAGAATGTGTAGGTTATGTAACCCTGTTTGTTGAATGTTTGTTACGTAATAAAGTGATGAATTACCATGTACAATGTCTTCTTAATTAAAGATCCGTCTTCTTAGATTCGGGGCATTTCGAAAGAGATACAGAAGCCGGTAAGTCTGGAGGGATTTTCGACCCACCCCCTTTCCCTTCGGCGGCGTGATACACAACCAGTGCTTTCGCATCCAGCCGCTCATTGCCCTCGGCCACAATCTTTTCCCATAACTTAACCACGCCAGACAATGAGCGGCATAATTAATGAATGAAAATGGTACACTGTTAGCCATTTCAATCTACAGGTGAAAAAAGATTCAAACCACTCACTTTAATTTGCCCATTTTCACGATATTCCACCCAGGACAAGCCATCCTTGCTGTGCGAAAGCCTGTAAGTTGCGACCTTACGGTCGGAACGACCTGAATCATATCCGCCCATAGTCGAGAGCCTCGTCACTTTCCGCAGTGAGCCAAAGTCGATCTGTAAATAATCAGAGGGAGTCTCGTAGAGCCGCGAATACCATCCGTAAGGGAAACTCTTCACAACCACGTTGGGCCGAATGTACTGTGGTTTGGAAGCATGATCGGCTGGAAGACTGTGTGATAGAGCTTCGTCCGGTATTTCTCCGGATTCAAGGCCCAGTGGAGACACGCAACTGGCTGAAAAACATGGCAAAATACTCCATGGTGAAAAGAACCCTGGAGGATTAGTTCCTTGAGCGGTCCGAGGTTTGCAAGACGGATCGCTAAGAAGACTACTCTTGAATAGTTTTGTTGATGTGCGTTTTTAAAACAACACACAAAAGAAAACTTCGGAAAGCTAAATCTAAAAGACACAAAGTGTTCTCGCTTGAGTTGGAACCATTTTAAGTTATGGCTAACGGTAGAGTGTTTTTTTCTTTTTTTTTTAAGATGATTCTTGCTTTCCGCTCGGCTTTCCGATTGGTCCACAAACGTGAGAACATAGACAAACTACCGTAAGTCCTCCCTCTTATAAGCCTCCCCCCGGTTATAGGGCCCTCTACCGAAAAAAAAATTTTACTTCCGATAATAACCTCCTCCGGATATAAGCCCCTTCTAGTTTAAAATGAAATGAATTCGATTTAAGCTTAACTAAAAACCAGTATACGAAAAGCTTTTTTCGATCAACACTGCAGTAGCTCATTTCCAAATGTTTTTTTTTTTATACCGCATATAAGCTCCCTCCCCCGGATATAAGCCCCTCAGTTTATAAGCCCATTAAAAAGCCGTGATGAAGTTGTATAAGCGGCAGTTTACGGTATTTCCCCTCAAATACCGACCTCACGTTAATTCAGTCACGCCTATGACGTCATACCTGGTGAGCCGAGGATGTCGCAGCCGTACACCTCGAGCCGCATACACACCAGTTGTTCAGATTTCCACGGATGGAAACGAATGCTGTAAGCCTCTATTGGGTGGCGGAGACGATGAACGATCATTTCAGTGTCTTCTTTAGACTGTGGGCCCAGGAACAGCTTCGTATAAAGAGAACGAGGAGTCTCGTTAGGTAAACCATAGAGGGCACCCACACTCATAAAAGAACGAATCATCTCTGACTCTGGGACTTAAAGTTAACAACAACAACAACAACAACAACAACAACAAGCTTTATTAACGGAAATTTTAGGATATTTATTGGACAGAAACAATAAAAATTTAGAACATATAACGATTACTCAATGATCTAAATATGTAGGGTAAACTGTAAAACAATGCGCTTAACTATCTAAACCATTTGTAGCGGAGCTCCGGCTGCCAGAAGGGCCGCCAAGTGGAGCCCCATACCCATAGCGGAGCTCCGGCGGCCAAGCGGAGCCCCATAACTATAGGAACAGAACTACATGTATGCATAGAAATAGAAAAACATGCAACTCTTTTTTCATGGTCATCACGTCTAGCCGCATGGATCGTTGGTGACTGACGTTTCGACAACTTGAGCGGAAGTCATCTTCAGAGTCAAGTGAATAGTGTTTGGCAGTCGATGGTGTTATAAGTCTGGTCCTTTGAAAGTGATTGGTCAGTTTAACCTTGATGGTATTGGCTGTAAGACTAACCTGGGCGGTATTGGCTGTAAGTTTTTTCAGTAGTCATTGTTCGGTTCTGGAGTCCAACGGACCAACCACTAAACAACCGACTAACATTAATCCACAGACTCTACAATTAGCCAATAATTTGAGAATTATCCCTCACCCTGGCGTGACCGTTCTCCTTGTAATCAATCCAATTGACGTCGTCGTCACTGTACTTCAAGTAGTATTCCGAGACCCAGTGGTCCTTATTTTTACGGCGCATGATTCCCACACGTGTCACGCGAGTTTTGAGTAAGAAATCCACTTGAATGTACTGATTTCGTTTGTCCTCGTCATTGTCTGCCTTTCTTGTGCACCAGGCATCTTCCGCTGGAAGTTTAGTAGCAAAAGTGAAATCAATCAATCATTTTATTTAAAAACTCGGTTAAAATAGTACAACAGGACATCAATCTAAATACAAATATTACATTAATTACTACTAGATTATGATTGCGTTCGACCCCGTCGCTTTAATATATATATATATTATATACCTTAAATGATTTCACTAGCTGACTTTCAACCTCAGTCTATTGCTAAAATCAACATTTTTCATCAACACCCGGGGTTTTACAGACAGATATATCATAGTGGACTCATACTGTTAAAGTCTATGTCAGTGAAGAGGTCCCCTGTATACAAAACCACGATTTGTTGATACGTTGCATGACGGCGACAGTTTCCATGGTTTCACAAAAATATTTACATTAGCCTTCAAATTTCGCGCTAAACATTTTCACATTAACTGGTTATGTTTAAGCATAAAAGCTTAATTGTAAAAGTATATTTTATTTGGCTGAATATAATTTAGGCAAAGTTAGACTCGACCCAATGCAGCCAGCGATTTCTCGTTTGACAGTACGTGACCTGCGGGGCGGCTCTCAGGGGATTTGCAATGCTTCACTAGCCTGCGAGCGGGCTCAAGTTAGAGCACAAGCGCGCGCAGCGTAGCCGAGAGCGCGATATCGAGCGGCGAAGCCACCAGACTCCTTCCCGCCGGATTGCTTTGCACTTCGTTGTTCTTGCCTCGATAATTGCTCGTTGTGTTGCTATTGGACGACATGCACACCAGAAACACGCATAACAGCTAAGCGGCGACCTTCGATGCCTTGTCTCTCGTGCCTGAGTCCGAGGAAAATCCTCCGCGATCTGTTACAGTGCCTCTGGATCCTGGCGTGGCTTCGAAGAATTTGTCTAATTCTTCCCCTGTCTTAACGCCCAAGCTGTGTTACTGGGCAACCCGTCTCCCGCTTTTCCGGCCGCCATCAAAAATCGAAGCAAGCGCTGTCGGCCAAGCAAGCTGCAAGCCTTCCAGCTTCTAGTTCACTCGCAAGCGAGTCTATTTCAGAAGGCGTTCCCATTGAGCCCGCTAACCTCGGTCAGCTTGATGCCCAAGCTTCGTCTTTAGCTGCCTCTTGCGCTGGTTTTTCACCTCTTCCACAGGTCACAGCGACTCTTCCTGCTCCAGGTAGGCCAAATAATTTTATTGTCCCGTTTGTGTCAACTTTCTCTATTCCGATTCCGTCGCTCGTTCATTCGTCTTCAACTCAGTAGTACTCTCAATGCCGATAATTCAAATACGCGATTGATTTGCGTCTTGAATTTCGCTATTGATTTAATCTTTTTCTTTTAGGTAATGAATTCCACAATAAAGCACCGCTGTAACTGAAACTACGTCTCAAATAATTAGTACGCGGCCTGGGCAATGACAATGTACCGAAAGAATTACGCAAATCATTGTCTGTGCTTCGTTCGTTGAATAGGTCTTGCAAGTACACTAGAGCTAACTCGTTAAGGGATTTAAACATCATTATTGCTGTTTGTTTCGTTCTTCTTACTCCTAGTTTGTCCCATTTAAGTGTTTCGAGAAGGAAGCTTAAGCTAGTTTCATAATTGGCCTTTAAAATTACTCTGGCTGCATGGTCAACACGTGAAAGCGTCTTGGGAAATTAAAACATACGATGGAGAAAGGGAAGTCCTTCAACAAAACGACGTGAAAAATCACTTCAGTGTACGTTACGATGTGGCTGATATAACTGTTGGTTTGTTCGTGACCAAGTACTTACTTTCTCTTGCTTTGGAAGGCTGAGCGTCAGCATAACTTGAAGAAGCCGTGATTTGATAATCCTTGATCTTTCCACTTTTCATTCCCAAAGGCTCTGAACAACCTGACATTTAAAAGTAAAGTGAACAGAGAAGGCAGTAACAAGTTCAATGAGAAAATTGAATTGAATTCAAACTGAGCTAGCCTTTAAATTGAAACTTTGAATTACTTTTTTTTTCACTCGTCGTAAAACTCATTAGATTTTCATTACAGTGTTTAGTGATGTTTCATGTGACATGTGAACTTTAGAAAATCTCGCCAAATCTTCCAACGTCTGTGATTCCGAGTTCAATAGTCCATATTCGTTTTCTCGGTATTGGACTGGAACTAGCTTGCAACTGAGGCTCATGCGGGGGAATATCATTAAAAAGAGATGAATGTCATTTGCATTTGAAAAGACTCCCCGCATTAGCCTCAGTTGCAAGCTAGTTCCAGTCCAATACCGGGAATACGAATGTGGTCTATTCAAAGTCTATTTTTTGTTTTATTTTTAATAGTGCATTGACTGGGATAAGCTAACAAGCTCCCAGTTCAAATTATTGCTTTTTTATCATTAAGAAGAATAATAATCTGGCTGGCAACAGTTTCCAGCACTTTTCCCACAGCTATTCTTTGACGGATCAATACTACCACTGCTTATCAACCGATGCTACGATATTGGTACCACACAAACGCCCGGCCAAAATTCAGCTCGGTGACCCTTTCAGCTTGGCAGCGAGGCCTGGAGGACACAAGCAAAGGAAATTGAATCCCCATGTTTATTCATTTCTTTTGTTTGTGTCCTCTAGGCCTCGCTATCGAGCTGAATTTTAATATATCGAAAGTGGCTTGTTGTGACAACTTTTTGCAAAGTTCTTTAAAAAATATGTGTGAGGGGTTCAGAGCCACCATAAATTTTCGATCATTCAAGGTGGCTCTGAACGGCCCGCTCATATTTTTGTAAAAACTCTGGAAAAAGGTGCTATTGCCCACGCATAACAGTATCCTACCTGGTAGTTCGACGTCAAAGGAAACTTTACCCAGTGGGTGAGAGTATGCCGTTCCGTTGCTGACTACCACCCCGTCAGAGTTCTCGATGTACTCGTCGTAGTAGAGAAGATGGACAGGAGTGACAATGTCGTAATGCTTAGGCTTTAAACTCTTCTCTGGATCAAACAAAACCTTGAAAGAGATTGTACTCACAAGTCCCCAGACTATCTCGTCAATCTAATCACATGAAAAATAATTAGCAGGTATGAGGGATTCCATTTAAACGTGAAAGGAGTAAGCGTCAGAAATTTTTTTAAGAACCCATTAAAGGAGCTACAGTCCCGCTTTGCGGCTGCTGCTTGAGAAAAAGTACCAAATATAAAACGACAATTAGTCCCTGTAATTTTTTTCAAAGGAATTACAATAACCCTGACAATGTTAACTTTTGACGTCTAATAAGTAGTATCAAGCGACGAGTTTTACATTTTTGAAAACAACTCTGCCTGCATGTTTATATGGAAGTCGTCCCCGAGAGTTCAGAAAGGGTAAACTGACCAAGGGCGTAGCCAGGATTTTTCAAAGCGGGTGTCACACTGTGTCAAAGTGAGGGTACTCACCAGATCGTCATGCCGTTTTCTCCACCTGATGTAGGTTGTTTGCTTAAAAACGGCTTAGAAAAGGGGGCCCTCCTAGCCACGCCCCTGCTGACGCAATTCAAATTAAAGTGGAAACAGATTGAACAGAATTTGTCAGCGGTGCTATCAAACCTTTAGAAATACAGATTGAACTTTTTCTTATAATTAACAATTAGATTATTCGCTCTTGACTGATTTCTATCGGTGCCGGATAGTTGACGAGGGCTGCGCAATAGTACGTATAAATCTTTAGTATAAATCTTAAGTATAGATCTTTAATATAAATCTACTAGTCGTTCAAAGCTTTATCTAAATCCTCTTCACAGATCCCTCGAAAACGCAAATCATTTTGTTAACAAGCGCACACTGCCACACTCCTCACTATCTACAACAGAATAGATAGTGAGTAGCGTAGCCAATCAGAGAACGGCATTCGTGATAAAACGCTAGTAGATTTATACTCATTGCATTAGGGAAAGTTAAGTATGCATACGAACCAAGTGGCCCATCAGACCGGAGCTTATCCCGGTTTCTGTGACATGAAGCGACTAGGAGTATTTCTTCTTCCCCCTGGATGGGATGCTAGTCCATCGCAGGGTTACCCCTACCAGTACCAATTTATACACCTGGGTAGAGAGAGGCACTGTGAGAGTAAAGTGTCTTGCCCAAGAACACAATGCAGTGTCCCCGGCCAGGGCTCGAACAAAGAGCGCTCGATCCGGAGACGAGCGCACTAAGCATGAGGCCACCGCACCTCCCTCCATTAGGTCACTGTACCACCCAAAATTAGTATTTTAACTAGCAAAGACATTGCTGAAAAGATTCTGCAATACCTTAAGAGTGACACTGTCATCCTTTTGCACTACCCGTGGAGGACTGATGCCTTGAGAATACGACACCAAATTACTAAATTTGATGAAGGGTGCCAACATCCAAGTAACGTGCACACCCTTGGCGGCAATCTGTGAGCCAGCTGCGTGGTTAAGGGTGGTGACGTACCCGAAATGGTCGCTATAGTGACAAAAAGAAAGTGCTGTTATCTCTCATTGTGCTAATAGAGAGGTTTTCAATTGAGTGTCGAAAGTAATCAGCAATTACTTTGATTTTGGTTTTGTTTCACTACGGTTTGAGATTGCCCGAGTATTCTAATTGGAAAGTAATTGGTCTGGTTTGCTTTTATGACACTCGACTGAAAACCTCTCTATATAACAGAACCGTTAAATAAGCTTAATTCCTTCAACTGGTTTGGTAATGGGCCACGGGAAAGCTCCACATTAACGAGGTGTCTGTTTGGAGCGGATAACGTACGAGCTAATATAAGGACCAAACGTAATGTCTATAAAAACGAGATCTCACTTTCCGCAGAAAGGTAGTTCAACTGCAATTATCGTAACTTCATCGAACCTGTGTTTAATATTCTTGCACATTTATGTTGAAAATGCAATTAGTTTAAAATAAGTCAGTTCATGTTTGGCGCTTCGAAAGCTCACTAACGACTCAAGCAGGTAATTATCATAGACCAACCATTATGACCAAAGCGATATTGCCCTTTCAAATACGATTTTCTCAAAGGTACTTCGTTTTAATTCACTGCATGGTCTTCGCTATTGAAAAAAAGTGTTTTCTTTAACTGTTATCGACTATACTCCCCCCCCCCACCCACCCCCTCCTCGTCCCCTACTCGTCAGACACAGAACAAATAAGTCCTTACCCATGCCTCAAGACACCCGTCACATTCACAAAGGATGTTTGGATCTCAAGTATAGGAGTCAAACTGGCTACAAGAGATGGCCATAAGATGAAATGTGACACTAAAATAAATTATTTCATTCATTTAGATGACTAATGTAGCTTAGAATGAAATACAGCCGTTCACTTTTACTAGGTGTGTCTGAGTTGTGGTGAGCATCCTCGTGGTTCGATTTAGAATGGCAGTCAGAATACCATTATATACAACTAAACTCCAAACTATTAAGATCATAATCATTTTAGACACTGTGTAGCGCCAATATATTGATTTCAGTTCAACATTGAGCTTTATTCAGCGCTAGATAGTTTTAAAGTTCTGTACGTTCTGGCACTACTAATCCTCAAGTTCATCAGTGGATGCAATAAAACTTTAAAAAGCCCCCTCAATTTTGAACTGAAATCCATTCAACAACCTAACGTCCTCCTTTTATACAGCCGAACTGAACTGCCAGGACTAAGGGACAGATCATTATTTATTATATTTTTTTTTTTGAAAGGTTGGAGGGGGGCTGGGCAATTTTTTGGGACATGAATTTTTTTTCCTCACCTTTAGGTTGTGCGTAATAGTTTGTGCAAGAGCTCGATATTAGAAAGCACTTTTTCTTGGGTTTTTTTTCCGCAAGGCTCCCCTCGCAAGATTTTTTTTGTCAGTAGTTTTTGCTGCGCAGGAATGTTTTTTTTTGGAATTTATCACCTCCCTTCCTCCCCCCAATGATCCGTCCCTAAACTTAACCTGTTTAACCGGTTGTGTACTCCATAGATACCGTAAAACAATCTTTATTCGTTTCGAGCATTATTTGTTCTCCCTAAATGAATTTAGAAGAAATGGAGACATAATTTCTCTTTTCAATGGTATCGCCAATAAAAGGCGTAACCTAGTAAAACAATGAGTATGCAAATGAATTATTTACATTTCTAGAATATTCTTGTCTTGCTAGGATATTGAAAATCCACTTGAAAATACAGGATATTACCGTTACAATCTCAGGGTAATTTCCTTATGGAACTAGACGAGAATCTGGGCAAAGAAATTATTAAAGCAAAACCGTGAAGATTAGATATAACAAATCAGCGATTATTACATTATTTGATTCACCGAAGCAACCGATAACTTTTTATAAGTGTTAAATCGATCTAGGAACCCAGGAACGTTAATTAGGCCAACAATTAAAATGCAGCAGAGAACAGTTATGCAAAGAAGATTTTGGAAAATTTATTCTTAGGAATCGTACTTTTTAGCTCCATCAAGAACTGCTGAACTCTGGAAGATTCTTGATCGACACCTCTGTTTGACCCTATTTTCTCCTAATTATTGCCAAATCAGTCTTTTAAACATTTTTATTACAAATAGGTTCCTGGTTGCAGTTGGGTCGCGGTGTTTACATAAGTTAAATGTTAATCTTTGTACAGACTTGCAAGTATAGCCCTCAATCCCTCTTTTTCAGCAATATGTTATTCATTACAAGAACCTTTAACTATGTTTACAAGTTTCTTGATATGATTAAAACTTGTTAGATACTCACTATCTACATTGATGTTTAACGCTAAAAATGAGTTCTTACCTGTTGCAGAAACTGAAATGGCGCAAAACGCCACCTGAAACAACCAGCTCGCGGGCGTCATCTTATTGAAAAACTTTTATATCCTAGATGAAATCGTTAGGGCATGAACTTAATTACTTTGAAACTTTCGAAAGATGAGGCTTTTAAATATTTATATCAAAAACAGGATACTGAAAAACCGATAAGAGATCTAACCGCAAGCAATTAGATAGGGTCCTTGCGGGAGAATTTGCCCAGTAGCTGCACAGAACGATATTTAATGAGGCCTCCAGCTGTCTGCGTACGTCGGTGCAATTCTGATTCAGCTGGATGAGATCAAACCAGTGATGTATAATTGTTTAACTGGACCAGTCACCGCTATTTATTAAGATAACATTCCGAGTTTGAAAAGCAGAGGTTTCTTTTCCTTTGCCAATGAAATCAATCGCTCTAGGAGTTATTAAACGATAAATTAAGTTAGCAAAATATCTATTTTAACTATTGTCCTCGAGTGTTCAATCAATCCCTCAAATGCGTTCAGTTAAATATACAATGGACTATAATTCCCAGTACATATGAAGTGCTGATATTTTATTTTGTTTCTAATATTAAGGAGAAATTCGGATAAATGAAGTTAACCTTTTGCCACCATGCAAAACTCTGAGTCCCCTGGATTGCAGAAATAAACAACAATTTCTCTTGATAAGGGAAAAGTTCAATCTGAGATCGATTAATTCAAAACGCGAACCATATTTACATAAGATAAACACGATGGTAAGTTGAACCGGTAGAGCATGGACAGAGCCGATAACCTAGCGCGCAGGGTTTCTTTTCTTCCTGGGCGTGAAGAAGAGAGACCCTGTAACGATTTTGGGACAGAAGTGCTTCTTAAAATCTGGTTCACACTTGTGAGATAAGCACAAGCACTAGCACAAGAAAAAGAAACATGTTCCTTTTTTGCTGTGCTTGCGCTTATGCTTATTTCCCTAGTGTCGGCTTATCTCACAACAGGCTTACGAACACCAGAGGAAAAAGGGGCTTGGCAGGCCTTTGCATAAGTACCATAAGTATCACGGATCTGTTCTGACAAACTCACTGGCAAGTTATTTAAATTGACAGCAGCTCCTATATTTAAAAAGAAATGAATGGAACAGAGCATCTCTGCATTTCACTGTCATTCGAGGGTTCAACTTAACAATCATCCATAAGCTTTTGCTCTTTTTTCCTGTCGTCAAGATGGGAACAATGGCTTTAATTCTCTCGCGTTGTCATTCCGTGTTTCTCTTTTCCGTTACATTAATTGTCACGATGAGTTTTAGAGTCTTCTAACTTGCCGTGTTTGGAAGGCTTAAGTTCTGGTGTAATGTGTTAATTTTAAAGTTTTGAGTTTTGTGTTTGGGGTTTCGAGTCTAGTGTCCTTGTACCATCTGGTTCATTATTGTTCCTCTGCGCGCCCACAAATCGCAAAACATACATCTACCTCAGTATGAGTGCAGATAAATCTTGTACAAATAGAGTATACCCACTTAAGGTCTCAAATAATGAGCTCACTAAGCCCTTCCGGTTACCAACTGGGGCCTGGAGTCTAAGGATTTTCTCTTGTTAGAGCTTAGTCAAAACATAGCCCGATTCTCAGACGGTCAAACATTTTGGGAGGTCGATCTCTCTCGCTCCCTCCTCTCCCGGGGGACGGTCGGATGTCGCTCGCTCTCACTTCCTCCTCTCCCGGGGGGAGCCTCCTCTTCCACTGGGGAGCCGGTTCATAGGCTTTTAGAAAACCCACCATTATCTAATAGAGCCCGCATGGAGCCTTCCCTGCCGGAGGCCTAGCTAGGTATTGGCTCTTATCGGTGATTAATGCCACACCAATCTTACAACAGGATTACGGTAGTAAAAGAGCCTAACCAAAAATGTACGAATTCCTTCATCGAGCCAAATTTTGCTCGTTAGAGGCTAAGAATGGTCAATTGGACAGAATTATGGAGAAAAAGAAAGTTTTGGAGAAAATTTGTGCTTTTCTTTAAATGTCCCGACTGAAACGATTTTTCTGTCTTGGAGTACTGTAAAGCCCCGACTGCGCGCAGTCTCTCCTTTTGCTCGAAAATTCGTGAGGGGAAAAACGCAAAACACTGAGTGAACAAGCAGAAGCCAGCCCGCGAGTCGCGAGTAGCGCGGGCATCGGAGGACGAGGTGCAAAATTCGGAAAAGTTGGTTATATAATTGAAAGTGTGGGTTTACGTGTGCGTTGCAGATTTTCCTTTGTATCAAATAAACGCCAGTCGCAGTAGACAGTCTTCGGAGATCCAGAGGTAGTCAATAGGAGATAGGGACCTTCTGCGTTCTTCCCCGCAGTTTTCGACAAAATCTTAATTGGTGCCAACTGTGTCTAACTACCTCTGGACTCTCCGAGCAAACCTTGCCCTCGTTCCCAACACCCTCACTTTGGCGCTTACTGCTCGTTGACTCCAGTCCTCCATCTTTTTCTGTCCGCGTGTACAGGTGTCCACTAACCATGCGCTTGAATCATTTCATCAGCTTGAACTATTTTGACAATTAGATGTTTTCTATTGAATGCGGTTTACGCCTGTTAAGTTTTATACCACAATAATGTCTTAATTAACTCCAAGGGTTTTGTTTTTACAAATAATAGACAAACAATATACATTGTGAATGCGCCTGAAACGAACTAATTTTCATCATTCTAACCCAGTGGCTGACATGACTTATCTGTGGCAAGTTCTCGATCTGTTTGGCTTCGTAGGCTTGAGAGTTTTTGAACGCGCGGATTTCATCATTATTGGCAGATAAGTGTTGTAACAAGACTCTCATTATATGCTGAAACGACCAGTCACTGGGTTACACTAAAACAGTTATGCTCCGGGTTTCTAGCTAGCCAGTGATAGTTTGTTCGAGGTTTCACCTCTGATCATCAACCGTTCGATGGGAACCTCAAGCACATGGTCTTATCGTTGTTATTTCTTTATCAAGTGGCCATATGTTATGCAAATTACGCCTGGTACAACCTATCACCGATTTTCAATTAAAAGGAAGTTACACGTGGTTTTGGCGGGTTTCGTCTGCGGAAAAATTCTCCCTCTGGTGTTAGCTCACAGCATGTTAACAACAAACATTGTTAAGGTCCATTTACTACCACCAGTTGTTTTAGTATTTACCGCACGTAAAGGTAGTTTTCGGTTAAGTACCAATAAAAGTTTGACGAGGTGTTGATGAATTTTAGAAGCGTTTCTACTAGTTCTTGCACGTGGTTTTTCAGAGCAAGAAACACGTGGTTTGAGGCACCTGTCGCAAGATGACTTTGAAAGTGTTCGATTTCATTCCAGACTTGTCACTAGAAAACATTGTTCTCGACAAGCAAAAAAGCACCTGTCACTTTGTCCACCTGTAGTTTGAAGAACATCCAAACTGAACAAGTAGATATGTTTTATAGCCTTTTCAATAGCTTTTGTTGACAGTCCGTGTTCTATTGTGAGAAACGAGGTGTGAATGCATGGGTCACCACGTTCTTGCAATAATATAACTATTTTTAGCTTACACATAAACTTGTGGAAATAGCTTAGCTTTAATTTTCAACTTGCTCAGGGCTTCTGTCTACACTCATACAAGAGGAAATCAAAACGGTGGCGTGTACCTGAACCTACTGGAGGCGTGGCTCAAATATCAGTCAAAAATTTCAAATTCAAAGCCGTTGAGTGCCGCATATTTGCTGTCGTTTTGTGGCTCAGTACCTTTAAGATACCTCGAAGACTGTCAACGGCGGTCATTTCAAACTAAGCACTTCAAGATATACCAATCGACAAATTGCACTTGCACTCCCCAAAAGATACCACGAGAACCCCCCTGCACCCCGGAACACTGCTACACAACATACTTTGAAAAGCTTTATTTACTCACGGACTGATATTAGATAACTTTCAATCTTAACGGAAGCCGATGAGTCCGAGATTTGAACGCATTACTTTAAGCTTTTTTCCTATGCGAGTTGAGGAAGGAAAAAAAAATTAATCGCGTTTTTAAAACCGGCCCAAGCGACTGAGTAAAACGAGGCGTTAAGCGGGCAGCAATGCCAGTCAACCACACTACATCATTTCGTGAGATTACCCTAACAATTCGCCTTTTACGGTGGGTGGAGAGAGGCACCCTGAGGATGAAGCCTCTTGTCGAAGAGCGCAAAATACGTCCCAGATCACCAGTCACAATACACCCGCCCCAGCTTGAATAGACTGTTCGCAGCGCTCTATTTCCTCGTATTTTTGTTCCATCGTTGAACGCAAGGGTAGAATCCCGAGATAACTGGATGCCAGCCCAAAACGGAAGATTTGACAGGGTAGAGGGTGGGGTCTCTATTCTTTGTTTGGCTCGCTTCGCTCGCATGCCCGCCCCACCCCCTCGTACTTCGCATTCGCGCTCGCCTTTTCCTTCGCGTTCGTTAAAAAATAGATTCTGCAGCTTGAAAAAATAGGCGATTTCGCCAGCGCCTCCAGCACTTTTAGTCTTGTCAGGAGCCCTTCCCCGACCTCTCGCCAATTTTTTAACAAGATTATTGCGTGTGATGGATGACACTGGTTACTGGATTTCACCATTCTTTTCAAACCATTCTTTTCACTTTTGTCTTCTTGGCTTGACGCAACGAGCACAAATAATACTCCCTACACAATTTTCAAGCTTTTCCATTGCCTCCAGTTTCAAGTAATATGTGTAAGTCTGGAGAAAGATTTTCATAGTTTTTCTCCATTCGTTAACCTTGTCACAGGAAAAAAGGGTGTTATTAATTACTGTGCACAGTTGCTTTCCTCAGGAGGTCGAGCGAAGGAATCGAAGAGTGGATGCTTTTTGATTGAGGTTTTAGTGTGCTTACACATTTTGCACTAGACTTCTTGATTACTGTCATATCCATATCAGAATATTGTCAACATCTCTCATCATTGTTTATTACCATTTTAAAAATGTATTGGCAACATCGACTAAAACAAAGAACACATATCAGTGCGATACTAATTAAAAATCGTGGTTTACTGTTTTAGTTTACCTCACTAGTACAGGCACGACAAGAGGGAGTTTACAGTTTATGAGTTCGGTTAAATTTGACTCGAGTTTGAATTTTGAGTTCTAGTTTAAGAGTCAACAACTAGGGGATGGATCTGCATTTGAAGAACTTTATGGAAAAAGCTTTTTACAGACAATAGTGTAAACATAACCGTATTATGCAACTCTTTATACCTACAAATGAAATCTACCCAGTCCCAGACTAATCAGAGTTCTAATTCAGCTAACTAGAGTGCTACATGAAATAAAGCGCTAACTGAGTGTGCTAAAAAAGGTGCTAAATAAGCTGACCGGAGTGCTAATTAGGCTAACCAGAGTGCTATTCAGGCTAACTGGTGTACTAAATATGCATGTATTAAGGCCAACTGGAGCAGAACATGTAATTAAGCTAACTAAGATGCTATTCAGGGTAAAGAAAGAATCTTGAAATTTTAACTCGATCTAAAATTCAAAACTGCCACTTAAAGCAAAATGAAAACCAATCATTACAATGCATGTCCAAGTGTCGTTATTTCATACTCGTTTTTTTTTTGTTTCGTCGCACATTCTGTTTCACATGTAGCTACATTACAAGTCAAAAGAAAATGTCTGCTGAGCAACGTCACAAATCTGTTAAAACTTTGTTCACTCTAGAAATGTCTCTTGCTTAGGCGCTGATCACACCTGTCAAACGGAGCCCTAGCTTTACAGTGCAGCCTAACAGGGCGAAGAGACCAAGGTAGCCAAAGCTTCCTCTCATGCGCTTTTTAGGATCTGGAATGACAAAGAATTCACATTGAAAGAAACAGTCACTGAATTTTTCAATCAAAATGATGCTAAAAAAAAAAACAACAGCACTAGTAGTTTGTATTAGAAGAGGTGAACAGTGTATGGGAACAGTGCAAGTGTAATGTGATATAGATAAAAACGCCCGTAATAGCTCTTAATAAAGGAGCTGCTAAATCAAACATGGCGATCCAGTCAGCACTTTTGTCTCGTTATACCAATTCGAATAAATCGTATCTTTCATCCACAAGTAAGGTCGATTTTCCTTTGAGGTTACAAGTGTGAGGGGAGGAAAGGTGAGTCGCCCACTCGCGACCAGTTCTTAATAACTGGTTGCAAACACTTGATTTTTGGTCACATTGGCCAACAGTGAGTCATAATTTCAAGCCCTGTAAATACTCGCAATGTCTCTCTCACCCAGGTGTATAAATAGGCACTAGCAAATTTAAAGGGGCTCAATGTATTTTGAGTTATTTTGGCCACATACAAAATTTCCTTTAAATGGTAGGAAACCTGAAAATAACAGTTTAATCAGATAGAAAAACACCAAAGAGATAATGATAAACCATAAAGGAACAACGATGGCTAAGGATGAAGAAGATTAACACGGATTACAAACGACAAATTTGAAAAATTGAGGGCTAAACTTTTCAACGTGCACAAACCGTGACTGAGCTCCTTAAATGATGGGGGTAACCCTGTGATGGACTAGCACGGCATAAAGGAAGGAAACACTGCTAATAACATACTGCCACAGAAATCATATCAGCTCCAGAAGTAGGCACCACTTGGCCTGACGCAGATACCTTTTCACTCACCTGCTCATTCACAAGGCAGGGCCCATGCCATATATAAATCAAAGGACACTTAAGACGTTTTTCTTAGTCAAATGTTAAATCAGCCTGTTATGATTTTTATCTGTTTTATGCCTTTTAGGGACTGCTTGTGTTTTTATAGATGTATCTTTTTATCTTTTGTGTTTTAATAACAGGACCCCCTTTGATACCAGTACTTGCAGACTGACAGGGTTATCTTGTATAAATAATATTATACTTCATGTTAACTCTATTTACCTCCTGTGTAGTATCCATGGGCATAGAACAAGCGGGAAACAACCCACACCGCTCCTGCTACAGAGCATACAACCTAAACACAAATAGAAAGGAAACACAAAATTAAGCCAACATGTAAGGCTGCACCAATACACCAATACCATGTGATCTTGTTTGTCCGGTGTGAATATTGATACTGTAGTTGAAGAGAGCATTGGTACATAACTATACAGCAAATAAGTGGTGATAGGTCAACAAGTGTAGAAGTTTGTGCCTAATAACTGTAACAAAGTCCTTGCCAAAACACAGCCTTTGATCCATTGACTAGTGATTGTTTTAAAAACAGAAACAACATACGATCTGCACTGGTTTCACTTGCTTTGATTCATTGAAGATGGTGGCAAGAAATGCACCCTTTGGTTGACAGCTGCACATCACTGTGCACAGTCATCAAAACACATGGGAGGCTGATGACACGTGTTTGCCTGTTTCTCTTACTTGTCGGGGGTTGTTGCATGTCACTTCTCGTATTGTATTTTGGCCCTTTTATTGAGGTACGTATCATATCACGGGAAAATGTACACACTGTCACATCATTGCAGCCCTATAACATGCACTGATAAAAGATAAATAAATGTACAAATCCTAACTTGAGTTTATATAGACATTCTAGAGGTTGGGATGGTTAGAAAGTGTACTGCACCTGGGGCATCTGATCTCTATCGAAATTTCCACCTTTCAGAAATTTAACTAACAGTCTAGATTCATGGGTAGATTCCCAAGTAGGTATTTTGTAAACATGAGTAACAGGGGAATCATCCCACCCACTCAATTTCTTTATTTCCTCGAGATAAAGAATTCATTAACCACTCCCCCCAACACATGCTATGATAATTCACTCTTTTCATCTGACTCACAGGATGTTCCAGACCTCCGAGCAGCAGGAGGGACAAAAACTGAGTATAATTTTCAAGCCTATACAACAACAAAAGGACAAAATTACCAATGCATATAAATTAAACAGAGCTTATAATTGTTGCAGTCACACATTTTGCTCCTGAGGATTAAACATTTTGAGTGGAAGTTCAATTCCCAGCTGGCAGGAGATTGAGCAACCAGCTTAACAGTATTACAAAGTATTGCAAATAGTAGGAGTCTGTAACACGGTACTATCCAGGCTCAAAAAAAGTGCCATCCGGTCGTCTGGGACAAATAGATTCTCCTTCTGGGCAAGTGCCTTTTCATTCTCACTTGCCCAATGGGCAAGAGATCAGGAAAGTCATCTGCCAACTAAATCATTAAAAGAACCAACTAAGACTTGCCCTGGGAAAGATATATTCAAGAGCTACTTGTCCCATGGGCAAGCTGGAATTAAAGTTTTTTTTCGGGCCCTGGACTATAATGAACATGATCAGCTAGTGATAATCAAACTCCCTCCATGCAGTATTGTACAAAAAGATAGCAAACTGCTCTCCTTTGAATTTACTGACATTAACTGACTATGAAGAACTACACTTTCTCAGGGATCAAAAATTGTATTCCAGGGCTGTTTTAGTATCATTTAACTGAAAATCCCATGGACACTGTATATATTCATTTCTGTTTTTCTAGTCTCCCAGCAAAGGAAAACAACAATTAAATGTCAAATTATAAATGACAACCACTGTCTCTTTCCATTGATTTGCTAGGAAAAACTGCATTATCCATTGGTTCTTTCTGACAAATGTTCAACACCCCTGGATTTTGTCACCTTTAAGAAATCTGAATGGAAACAAAGACTTGTCATTTAATTTAATAAGTTTTGCCTCATGACCAAGGCGTAGCTGGCCTTCCCCTTGATACACCACTACCAATAATTTCTTTTACATCTCACTAACGCTATGTTACTTGTTTCCATACATTAACATTTTTTAACTTACGTGTTTAAATGTGCTCTTTGAATGCAGTTGAAAATGGGTTTATTTTCATCATACATCTTTGGATACTGTCAAAGAAAGAAACAAACACAAGATACACTGTAAGATCATCAAACAACACACAACCAAGAAAATAAAACAAAGTTATGGTGTATAATTTTGTACATAAAATGAATGTATAATTGATTCAATTTCCACTGGCTTGGAAGTGAAGGACAATGTGTTCTATTCATTTTTCCTTCCTAATACGTGTTATAAAAACCTGTGTTTGACCCAAATTTCTCAAAAACCTACATGCATGTACATCCCATGATTAACTTCCAATAATCATAGTAATATTTAGAGGTGAATCACATTCACAACCAAAATTAAAGGAAGCTGTAACACGGACTATGCTTTTCATGTAAAAGACTTACAAAGATCACATCTTTATTTCAGATTAATTTGTCAAGTACAGATATTTATTTTTAGATATTTATATTTTACGTTGCACACAGTCCTTTCAAAGAAACAGCTACTTCATGCGGAGAAGTTAGGTACAGTACTTTTGCCTGAGGAATCACAGCAATTTAACAGATCTGAAATAACATTTAACTAGTAGTGAGATTGCCCCTTAATTTTATATTTATCACAAGAATGAGCAAAGAGACTTAACGCCTACAAATTCTTTAGAATTCTGTGATATTGGACAGAAAATGAGACTGAAGTAATCCTCCGTAGGAAAAAAGATGCCAAGCGATACATTTAACCATAGTTCTTAGCGCAAGGAAACCTTAACGTTCATAAAAATGTACGGAAACGTCAAAAATCTTCAAACCTAGGCTACTCAATGTCCTTAGTACAGGGACAAATATTGTAAAAATGTAGCTTTCTTTGTGCTTTATAGGCTGTGTTACGTTTGCAAGGCATTGTGGCAAAACGTACAGCCACCATGTTTTTTCATACAGGGGGTTGCAAATTACTTCAATGAAAACTTGGGACACAAGATCATGGTTACTGCACTGGAAATCAGTTTGCAGTGGTTCAATAGACATCCAGTGTAAAACCAAAAGGAGATGCCAAAAAAAAAAAAAAAAATTTCTTTACTACAGTTGTAACCAAAAAACAATTTTGAACTTATACATGTATAGTACTTACAAAAATAAAATATAGCGTGATTTGCAGAAAATGTGTGAAACATTGTATCAGGAAATGCAATAAAATGCCTGCTAGGGAAGTATCTGGTCTCTACAGTGTATTGGCATCAGTACATTATTTGCCTACTGCTAGCAACACTGGAAGAGCTTGTGTTTGTTCCATCAGATACAAGAAGGCCATCCTCAGAGGCCCAGTGAGAAATAGTCGGTTCTGGTGGAAGTCAAACAGGTGAAAGCCAAGCAAACCAAAGACTATCTGTCCCTGGGTTTTGCTCAAGGATATATAATGCCTGAATGAACAACTCTAAGATGGTCCCAATGCAGACCTTGATGTTTTATTCAACCGCTGTCCTTTAGGACGCTATGTTGGTGAGTAAAAAGGCCAATCTTCTCTTATCTCCCAAATCCTATCAATAAAATTATACATAATGGGCCTTGTGCAATTGTCCGTGAAATTAACAAAAAATTTTAAAACCCTTTGATTGAGTGAGTTAGTGAGTGAGAAGAAGCAGCACAGTGCTCCTTCACTGCTTTAACAGTTGAAAATTTAAAAAGATGATCGAAGACTTTTAATCAACTGGTGTTCAAATGTCTAAATACGATAGAAAAGTACAAGTCAAGCATTTTTATACCCTGCTCAAGATGGTTTCTTAGAATTATTTGAGTTTCATTTGGCAACAATGTTCGGTAAATTAATGCACATTGTCATTCACAGACATCAAGCTTATATTTTCTCACTTTTGTTAATAAATAATGCTTGTTCATAGCGTAATTTGCTTCTTGCAAAGACACATGTACCAGATGTATTTTTTACTTGTTTTTCTTCTTGATTGCTCTTTTAGAAATTCACATGACAGCACAAGAAGTATTTCCTTTTATTTAAAGTTGCAATTCCAAATACAGTTGAACCTGCAGAACTGACCCCCCAGAATGTCAAGCCTTGGTGACTGTTTATGGGAGGTGGTTGCTTACAGGAGCTTCGACCATCTTTGGTCAAAATTTATGTCATTAGCATATGGTAACTGCAGAGACTTATCCCACGTTTTAATGTTTTATTCATGTGAAGAGTCAATTTTGAGAAAAAATTCAGTGCTTCCCATTGAGAAATTTGCATCTCTTGTACTACCCAGGAATGCAATAATGTTACAACACCTTATTATCCAATTTCTGCTTTATTATTGGTCAGGTGGTTGTTTATAGGAGGTTAAAAACAAAAGAAAATTTCAATCTTCAGGCTGTAAAAGTGGTTGCGGTGGTTTAGTATACGAGAGGTGGCTGCTTACAGGAGGTTTCAAATAGAGGGATGTCTTGGAAACCTTTAAGTACTTTAGAAAACTGGTTGCTGAGGAGAGGTAGTCACAACCGGAGGTTCGACTACACCACAAAGAATTTTACCATGAATATGGTAAAAATTTTACAAACCTGGGAGGAAATTTATAAATAAATTAAAATAAATGGCAGCAAATGCTTTGGAATAATTGCAAAAGAAAGACATGACTTTAATTTACTTTATTTGCATATTCCTAAAAGTTACTCACAACCGAACAAGTCCAAAGGTCTTTGCTATGAAACTGGAGGAAGAGTCACGTGCAAGACTACAAGTAAGCTTATAATATACCGCCTGTTAAACTAAAATCACAATGAATATTTATTGTACAGTGCTGGTATAAGGAACATGGACTAGCAATATTAATTGGAAAATCACTAGCAAGATGGAAGCATGAAACTCGCTTCTTCCAGGCTACAAAAGAAAATCAAATAGAAGTTATATACATACAGGTACATTGTACTGCTTTCGTGCTTTCCCCACGTTCATTCCCAGGTAAGCAATCATGAACCCAGAGGAAACGGTTGTGAGGACAACATATCCGTACTCCTTTGCTACAACTAACGACGCCATTTTGGATTCCAGCTGCCTGGAATTAAATCGAGGCTTAGACCACATGCTTACCACGTGCTTGGAAGGTTTTGATTGGTTGAAAAACTGAGACAATCAAACAAACCAATCAAATCAATCTTCTTGTGACGTATTGTCTTCCACGCTATTTGACCAGACTTACCGGCAATTTCGTTCATTTACTGCCGTTTGACGTATTTGAACTGTGGAGTTCTTGCAGAAGGTGACACTCCGAGGTCGAAGGTTGTCTCAGATTAGCAAAGGAAATAGAGAATGAAGTGCTCAGTATTTCTGGTTGCCGTGGGCCTTTTGGCCGTGATGGTTGTTTATAGCAGCGCCACTACTACGATTGTTGCTGCTCCTTCAAGCGCCGCCACAAACGCATCTGCTAGTCAAACACAAGCCAGCAACGCCACTACTACACCAGCGACAACGACGGAACCTACTACAACAACAAGCGTTGGGGTTAACGTTTTGCCATCGGCTTTTATTATGAGTGTGGCCATCTTGGTAGCTGCTCTCCAGTAAACATTTTTTTTCGTGTCACTTGTGAATGCAGTTGCCGCCACACCTAATTACACCGACGAACTTGCAAATAAGCTTATAACATTTAGTTTGGTTGTTGCCTCAATCTTTGGACCATTTCCTCAATACTGAGATACATAGACTGGATTTCATCATTTCCTACTGACAAACTTCAATGTATTTAATTCATGATATTCTACCACAAAGAGATTTCTGGACCACATGGTGCTATTACAAAACTGAAAAACTTTGCGAACGCGTGAAGATGGCGTGGCCTTCCACAAGAGTATGCGGCCTGCAAGAAAACTTTGTGTAACTGTAAGCTTTTTTTCGTCTTCAATTTAATACAACAAACTGTCATGTTAGGTTATTCATTATTTTGGCGTTTGTGCTTGTTTCACAAATTTGCATTTTGTGAGGAAGAAATCCCGACTTTATCGTTTCTAAAACGACGCTTACAATTTAAGGTAATTTTTGCTCTGCTGTGAATAATCGCGGACACCGTATGTTTTCCATCTTTCGTACTTGTCGTCTTCTGTTTGTAATTTTCATTATTCTCTTTATGTAGTTTGAGAAAATAAACCTTGCACATTTTGAACATGGGCGCTGTCGAGCGCCTTTGAAATCTACTGTTTTGAGGGTAGAGATTTTTTCCGATGTGAAGATTTTGTCCAGGTTTTCTCGTTTTTCTGCTTGAGTTCAATAAACTTGATCGCTTATCAACATGTGTAATTGGTTTCTGGTGTGATCTGACAACCCCCAAATATTCAATTTTTGTGAAAATTAAGTTTGAAGTAAGCTTGTCTGACCATCGAGAGGTTTCCTTCGGTCGAATGCATTTTCTTTTATGGTCGTTTTTGCCTTTGTTGCCTGCCGGGGTGGTCTTGACTGTAAAATGTGAAGATGATGTGGGAGAGAGCATTTGGCCATCCAAAGTGAAATTTCCTTGGCATTTGTCCGCCATTTCGGAAGCAACAACTGTTTGGTTTTGACATCTTCCTGTAATTGAGGTGGGCGCGTTTCATAAAGCATACGAATACTGCAAACAACTTTGACTTACCAAGTTCTGACAGGAAGACTGGTTATTTTTGTTTTCAGTGTCATTTTATAGCAATTATAGCTTGAAAATGTTCGAAGGAATTAGGAATGGTCGATTGAAAGCGATGCGGCGCCGGCATTTATTCTGACGATTAGGGAGACGCTTTTTTTTTACTCATCTTCTGCCGTTTATTTTCAAAGACAAATTCTCCTCCCACCATTTTGATAAGATTCCCTGGTGAAAGAAAATTACTTCCATTCTGTAAGTTGCGAAACAAAGATTTTGGCGAAAAAAATTTGATTAGGAGACACCGCGTGTTTTTTCGGTTTCCAAAGGAATATATGCAAATGTTTAGTCGGGAATTTTGCGTTGACATTTAGATAGCATTGTTCTAGATATTAGCTACATTCTTCTGGCATTTGAAAAGAAAAAAGTACTGTTTGTCAAAATTTACATCAATTGTGCACTGTCCAAAGAGGGGCACCTCTCAGCGAATGGAAAATTTGGAGCAAGGAACGGAAGAGGCTTCGCACAATGAAGTCGCACCTGCGTAAGATTTTAATTATGCCCACTTTCGGTTGGTATTTACTGATGTTACTAGTTTCTTGAAGCGGACTTGAGAAATTAGGGAAAACTTCAGGAAGTGAATCTGTGAAACAATCTCTCGGTGCTTCATGGTTTGAAGATAGAAGTGTAGAGGTGATCTTGATTTGTTTTGATTCCCAGTTATAATTATGAGGCAGCTGTCGTCATTAAGTATTTATGGCTTTTGTCTTGCTTCGAATAAGATGTTGAGTCTGTGAATAAACTACAGCTCCATGTTAATGGTCACTTAAGTGACATCGAATCGACTTTGTAAACAACAATCAATTTAAAGATGAAGATTTTGTCAATGAGGGTTTGTTGACTTGTGCTTCTGTTTGCGGTACATATTAAAATCAAACAGCATTCGATTTGATAACCACTCAAAAGATTAATTGTGCTAAAATCCATTTTCATTTAATTATTTTTTGTTGCTATGGCATCGTAATTTCCCTAATGACCGAAAGTGATATTTTTGAAATGTTGCAATACCTACTGGTGGGTTAATAATAGAGAAAATTAGGCCCGTTCCAAACGCCGCTCCATTCATGCGCCGAACCTAACTGAAGAGTTAAGTACGGCAGAAGAGCGGCGTTTGAATCAGTTTGGTTCGGCAGGTGAGGTTTGGTGCGACAAACAACATTAAATTCGGCAGGGTCTGTCGCACTATGCGACGTTGGAGCGGCAGCTGATTCATACGGCGTTCTCCTCATGCGTCGAACCTAATGCATAAATTACTGTAATTTATTTTTCATATAACGGGACTCGTGATTGGCTCAATTGATTGGCTCAAACTTGAGTGGCGTGACCAGTCACGCATGAAGCTCAAAGTCGTCGCTAAAAATAAAGACAGCAAAATACCATTATGAGAAACGGGGCTGTGGAAGCGAGTTTCTTTAGCGCAAATTCATTTTTTGCTTTTTCTTCGTGATAATAGCCCAGCTTATTAGATTTCACTTTAACAAGTCGATTTAACCGGGAGAAAACCTATCTAAATACAAACACACAGATAACAGCAGATAACAGCAGATAACAGCGAAATGTTAGTCACAGCTTTTCCATTTGGACAGAGTTCGTGAATTCAGGACGCATATTTTCTCGTCGAAAATTGTTACCACCGGCTTCCCGAATCAAGTTCGACGCAAGTACGCCGTCTGAACGAGCTGTCGCTCCAAAGTCGCGCTAAAGTCGAACTTAATCAAGTTTGGTTTTTACATACGTGCCCAAACTATCATTGTTTTGATAAGCTTGCTTTGTTGTTGAAGTCAAAATTCATTAATAATGTAGTTTCTTGACAGTTTGATAAAAGGAATTTTAAAAGTAGTGCCTCTCTCAGGATGACGATATCGGAAAGGTATGGTGTTTTAACCGGTAGCTAAGGAAACTTTGTATCCAGGTAACACAGCTGAGGGTTTGGTAACTAAACTTGCTTGCGGTTCGTAAAAAAATAGCCTGCGGAACAAGCTGTTTCGCGAGGCAGCAAAACGAAAAAAACCGCCTGCTCTAGACACACATGTTTCCGCAGGCTAAGAAAAACAACATATCCAGAAATCCAACACCAGCCGTGTTTGTATTTGCATGAACTGCTGGACGCAAGCCTGATTTCAGGCAAACTGGAATGAGTTTACATGCAATAATTTTGAGCAGAACGATATCAGTCCATACTCTCAGCTCGGGAAAATTATGGAAGTTTACAGGCTAATGAAGAAGCTTGAGGGAAGAACATAGTTTCCATCTGCATTCATCCGCTTGCATGGCAACTGCATGCGTTCCTTTGTAGAAAAACGACGACCGAACGAGTGGGCGACAGACACTTCAGCTGTTTAACAGCCCCCAGTGCCTTTCTAAAATTAAGATGTTTTGAAAAGATGGTAACCCCTGGATCCTTTTAAACACTGTGTTCTGAAAAAACAATTTAATGGACCATTGTATGTTTGAAATCGGAGAGTGAAAAACAGTTACCGGTAAACTCCTTTGATAGGATGACAACCAGTGCAGAGATTAAACTGAAATATCTTAAGCCTCAGTCAGATAGACAGGGATAGACGAAAAATACAACGGCTGAAACTGATTTTTCGAGTCTTGGCGATTCAGGAGACAAACAAGTGCTTCTTGCCGTGTTTGTCGGCTTCTCATCCATTATTCATCACGCTAACAAAGCCCCGCCAACAACGTAACAGCAAGACTGCTATAATTTTGATTAGTGCAAATTACTAATAAAATATGGGCACGTTCCCATCTGTTGCAGGTGCTTTGGCAGAATTCAGTCCTACTCCCAAGGTCATCAACATGAAGCTGCGCTTGGACAGTTCATTGCTCAAATACATAGACAGATAACCAGTCAGTGTAAAACGCAGGCTGCAGACCGGGGGTAAAATGCAGGCCGAGGGTAACTGCAACGGTAACTGCAGACTTTTGCAGTACTGTATTGTGCTATTTCCATTATCGAGTGCTGACTGAAAACAATATTATTCAGGCTAATCACAGCGAAAGTCTGCACTCCAGTTAGCCTGAAAATCACTCAGCTTAGGTTAGCCTGAATATCAATAAGGTTAGCGTCAATGCTCCGGTTAGCCTGTTTACGGTTGGCCTAATGATGGAAACGTATATATAGTCTGCAGTCTGCATTTTACAACCGGTCCGCAGTCTGGTTTCACACTGACTGGATAGATCACTAAACATATTCTTGAAGTAACACCGAGTTCTTACGTCGAACATAAAAGAAATGCATGGTAGTACACCTGTGTGGTGTCTGATTGGTCGATCCTTGCGCGCCAAAATTGAGATCCTAGTGACAACCAATCAGGGACACAACACTGATCTTCAGTGCCACGTCATCAGTTTCGAAATGAGAGGGCCTGATAACTAGTTCCACCCGAATAAATGCGCTTTACTTTGATGCAGACGATCGATGAAATATCGATATTGTTTTCATCAAAAACCTTTTCCTAGTGAAGATGCAGCCCTATAGTTTTGCAGTGGGGAAATGAAATCATACCTACCCCAATAGTTAACGCAAGAGAGAATAAAGAGAAGAGATTTCGTCTTCCATATATGACTTGTTATCAAGGTAATCCCTCTCAACCTATTTATAGATACCTGTATGAAATTTTGGCCACACGTTAATTTAGTGATTTCCGCGTAAATTTTGGAACACGAGTCACTTAACTTGCGTGACTTCACGAACTTATTATTTTTTTTGAAGTTAAACCAGTGCCCGAGGTGAGCAGCACCACTGCGAACTATTTGAGATACAAAACCATTTTTATTTTCTCCTACGCGTTTCGTGTGACTAGCGCACACTTCGTCAGCGAGTTTTATAATACAACCAAGTATACCTGTATATACAGGAGTACCCGTCGGATCCGCTCCGCAAAATATCCGCTCTGCAGACTAAAGTTGAGCTGGCTGGGAATCTTAGCAATAAACAGAATCTTGCTGAGAATTTAGCTTATCGAGAGCTAGCGAGCTGGGAATTTTTTTTTTTTTTTTGGTGTTCAAATAGCTTACAATGTGGTTTTACGAATCAGTTCTGGCTGGAAATTACGTTCCGGATGCGATCACTGACTGTGTGTCACTTGACACTCTGACTGCTTGACCTTTTGTTTGAAAACATGCTTACAATATA